TAATCTACTTGTAAGGCCTTACCTAATATAAAACCCATGGAGAATAAGATGGATTGGTTACAAAATATATAAACAATGACAAGTAAATGCAACCCACATGTGAGTCATATAAACATACTTCTTTCATTTCATTACTCATACATTGATGGTTGGGGTTTAATTGTTAGGTTTATGGCTTAATTAAGCATATTTGTAGTAGATTTTGAAGCTTTTAGAGAGACATTGTTCAAGGGTGATCAATTCCAATGAAACAATGGGTAAAGGGCATAGATAGATAGAAAAGTTAAAAAAAAATTGGGGAGGTTAAGAATCAAGTAGAGAAAGGAGAGAAAGGGGCATTGTGTAAGGCATAGTTTCTCAAGATTAATAAATGTAGATTTCAAAATTGGATAGAGATAAAAGTGTAGTGTTTACTAAGAGGTCATATAGTGCCAGAGAAAGGAAAATATAAGTAAGAAGAATATAGGGGTTCTAAAAATTTAAGTGTTTGGCTGGATGAGAAAATCATTACATGGTAATCTTTTAAAGTATTTGAAATTCAATCTTTATTCATTTTCAATAGATTTAGAATTCACCTACTTTGGTCAAATTCCAAATACACCACATTTATGGAACATGAAATGTTGCTCGAAACCACAAACATCGTCTACTACCCGCCACTTTTGATTGCCTCCAATCACTCACCCAGCCTCTGTCCTCACAACAAAACTTGTAGTCGATTGTTGCAGACCGCAGAACATCCCATGTCAATTACAACAATTGATGTTGACTGCCTGCCTCTACCAAACACCGCCAACCTGCCCACCACTAACTGCCGCCAACCATTGTCACTTAGTATTACTCTGAATTCATTTTATTTCAAACCAAACACAAATAGGTAACTTGATGTATTTATTAATTACTCAACTAAACAACTAAACATTACAAATACAATACATTTATCTTACAAAAGATTCCTTTTTTCTCTGCATTTCTTTTTCCGCAGCTAAATGGCCCTTAAGTGAAAATAGGGATCTTCGCTTCTTAAATTTGGATAATGATTACAAGCAAATTGGGGGTGTGATTAAGTTTAAGAAAAACCACTTGATTTTAATCTCACAAAAAATTTAAAATAAACTTTCATTTAGAAGAAGCACGCACTATTTAAATATCATGAGACGTGAAAATAATATTAACTGATAATTATGTTGTAAAATTGTTGACAATAACTCTCCGAATGATGCTAGGAAATAGAAGTCTAGTTCAGGAAAACACAAAAGAAGAATATAGAGAGAAAAATAGAGAAAAAGAAACAAGTATCACACACAGCTAAAAATGAGAGAGAAGATACATTTAGATGACCCATTGGACCTCTATTTGTCATAGTAGGTCCTAGAAAATACAAACAAGGATTAAACTTATCCTAGACAATTTACCAAAGACAATATCGCTCATAACAACTAAAATGACAATTGATAGCAAAATATAATGATAATTCGACTAAACTACTTTGACAAGATAGAAAATTCATGCATTATCAAAATCATATACATATAGACAAGCACATATACAGGTACTACATTGAAACTAATCATTAAAAAGAAATTCTAGTGAATAAACTCACAGAAAATGAGAAGCGGGCTCATCTTGCGCTGAGCCGATTCAATAGGGTAGGGTCAAGGGTCGATTGACCCTTTCTATTAGGCCAGGGTTGCAGCATAAAAGGAGGGCCCCCCTCTTAGTTATCTATTATTATATATATATTATTTTTTTTTGGTTAGGATTGAATTTTTGCCTCAGTTTTTCTGTCATCAGCGTCTTTCTCCCTTGTTAGAGTTGTATCTGCAATAACTAGTTTTGTGAAATCGGGTAAAATTTTTTATGACTTAAAATGTACCACAAATGTCACTTCCCTCATATTTCAACCTAATCAATTTTATATAATTCGACAAGTCCAATCGATCAATTCGATATATAACATTATGTGTAAATTATGAATGAAATGAGAGATATAAAATTTATAATATATTGAGTTATTTAAAAAAATAAACTTAATTAAACCCAAATCCCTCTCTAATCAAATATTTACTGTTTCCACAAACTTGCCCACACAATAATTAGCTCTGGGATGAGTCAAATGGGGGAAATCCTCTCAAGAGCCTTCAATTTTTTCTCCCTACTCTCAGTTGTGTGCACGAAGCCCCTCCTACTTCCAATTTCCTTTTCTTGCAAAGCTCAAGTCTCGGTTACTACAATCAGGCACGAACAGAGGCAAGAAAGAAGTCCATCAAGTGCTACAGCTCGCGGTATAGACTTAGGGATGAAATCAGTGAGTATAAACCCTCATTCACACCATTTGAGATATTCTTTCCTCACACTTCCATTTTAAGATTTTCCACGAATTGTGCATCTTTTTCATTTTAGGAAGCCTAGCAGAGATGAGGTTGTGTCGAAAGTGACGAATATGGTGCGTGAACTTCTTTAAGGGACTTAAAGAAGAAATCAACGAGTATAGGAAAAGACTAAAATGATAAAAAGAAGATAGAAGATTTGGTAGTATCAGTAAGGTTAAGTTGTGACGTGAAACCAGTTTGAGGTACATTTTGGCAAATCTGTTATGTTTTGGGTTAAATCATTTTATGATCCAAGATATCTTGAAATCCGAAGATATTTATAGATTTCTTGTTGTTTACTCGAGGCGGCAAGCTCCAGGCAAGTGTGTAAAAACTAGTCGTGGGGCAGCTTCATAAATTCAGGTAAATTAATCCTATGCTAAAAAGAATAATTTGATTAACAAAAATTGCTTAAATCTAAAGTATGATTTTTATTTAATAGGTTATTAATATCCATATAAAAGTTATCGCAACGCCCAATAAATTATTGAGGACAAAAATCTATGGCAACTGAGATGAATAATTATATTTCTTAGTTTCAGTAATCTTCTTTATTTCAAAATGTAAATTTGACTCCATGTATACTCCAGTTTAGTTAGATTTTTCATATTGTTATACATGAAATATATGCATGATAAGCATGATAGGATAAATGAGTATGATATAAAAAATATGCATAATATAAGAGATATGCATGAGATAAAAGATATGAATGATAAGAGAGATGTATAATTATTAGTTGCACAAAAGAGTAAGTATGCATGTTAGTAGATGAATGAAATGGTCTTAAAAGAATGCAAATTATGGAGAATGAAATAGATTATATATGAATATTTGTATGCTTGTATGTGCACGCTAAGAGGGGTTTACACTCTAATGGTACAGACAAAAAATGTCAATTTACCCGCGTGCGTAATTTTTTTATCACCCCAGACAGTTGTGATGTTTAGATCACTAACTGTTGTGTCGACAAGATAATATCAGCCATGAGCGAGTAGACAGAGCTCTACCCCAGATAATTGTGATGCTTAGATCACTAATTGATGTGTCGACAAGAGAATTTTGACCGGGGTGAGTGGGGACCTTTTCACCTAAGATAATTGTAATGTTTAAATCGCTAATCACTCCGCCAACGGGATAATATCAATCAGGGGTGCGTTAGATTTTGTTGACGGTGATTCTCAAAGAGACAAATGTGCATGTAAAGAGTATAAAGTAAAAAGTAAAGTTAGAGTTAAGATAAAAATTTTGAATATTTTCATTGAGTAAATGTCATTGACATATGCATTATTAAATTATAAGATTTCTTATAGAAATATGAAAGACCAACATAGTAAAAAGATTTCTTATGGAGATATAAAAGATTAGCATGCAAGTTGATTTATTTTCCTTGGGTAACTATACTTTAAAAGTGTGATTACTTGCGAGTATTTTTAGATAATTCATGTTGTTTAAATATTTTTTTTTAGGTTTTAAGCATTTGAACAAGATGAATAAAAGATGAGCGAATGTGTATTAAAAGATGAGAACAACCGGAAATATACAAATTTTTACTTGTTGATTAAATTGCTTTCTTTAGTGACTCTTTCATAAATATTTAAAAATCAAATTGTCAGTGATAGACATAAAATGACAGAGAATTGATTTCTATCGTACGGTCGTCGATTCCCATCTTGGTTAATTCCAAGCCCGGGTGGGGCAGTGATAGTATCCGAGGACAGGTGGTGCTCCAGCTATATTCTGTCCAAGGTGGTGGTTACCTTGTATTCCCTCCCCCCTTTCCTCCTTGTTGCTCTCAGCCACCTGCTTTGTTGTCGCAATTGCTCCCAACCACTTGTTTCGCTACTTGTGTTGTCCCAGCCCCTCACCTCATCTCCATGCTGTCGTTAGCCTACCGACCGTTTCCAACTCCCTACTGCCACCTCCCTACTACAGCCATCTAACCATCCTCTGTTGCAACCCGCCTTCTTGCCACCCAATAGCCAACCACAACAGTTCATTGCTGCCTTTCGACCATTCCACCACTCCCATGCTTGATTGTCCTCCTAAAAACTCAGCCCCACCACCCTCGACCTGAGCACTATTTGGGTTTGTGTCGTGTCTTTTGCAATCATCTAGTATCAAGTGTCTTTGGTTGTAATCCATATTTGATTTCAGACATAAAAGTTGCTTTTCCATTATCATTTCGGTTAACTCCGATATCAAAATGATAGTGGTAGGATCCCACAAACACGATCTTAAATTTAAGAATACGCATAGACACTGTATTGGCTCTACCAATGTTAGGTTTGGCCTTATAATTTGATATAAGCTTGAGAAAACAAAAAGTAGTGTCCAATATACTACAAACATTAAGCACCCGAAAAAAAAAATGTCAATGATAACAGTTTAGTTTCTTAGCCTTTATAGTTCTATGAAATTGTTATGGGTGATTAAAAAAAAGGATGGATGCAGAATAATTGTACGAGTTTTAAATCTAAAAACTCCAAAACTTGCACTTCAAATGAAAAAAAATTAAATAGAAAAAAAATATAATAAAAAAAAAAGATTAGACGTTATGCAAAACAAACAAGATAACTGTAACGAGGCCCGGGAGACACCTGTATACGAATGAAATTAGTTGAATACCTTTGATTCAAGCAAGCAAATCTCAGAACGCAACCGATCGCTCTCTCTCTCTAGTGCCTTCACCTTTTTTGTTTCAACGTTGAGATCCTCATTCAAATGCTTCATTTCATCATGTTGACGATTAATAATTTCCCTCAGTTGAAATATATTACTCTCCAGTCCTCCAATAATATGTTCTTTGTGCTCAATAACTATTTCTAGGTCCTGTGAACAGAGTACAAACGCAAGAAGATGAGGTTATAGTCAACTATATCAAGAATGAAAAGAATGCAAAATGCCCAAGCTTACTAACTGTTTCAGTTGTTTGACCACTGCTGGAGAGTCCGCTTTTATGCTCACTCAAGCTAACAACATCCTTTTTTAGCTTTTCACATTCTTCAGACACAGAAGCAAGCTGCAAAATAAAACAGAATTAAGTTTAAACTTATCAACCTCCAGAATGCCTCATTTTATGGCAATGTTTCGCTCACGTAGTCTTCAGTATTAAGCTTAACATTTTCATGAAATATATCTTTGAACCAAAAATTGCATCTTACAAATTTAAAGATAGAAATAATCAGATGAAGAAAAGCTAGCTTTGTCATTTACAGGTAACCTAACTAATTAAGCTCACCTCAACTGCTCCTTCATTTTAATCACTAAAATGCAGGGATATCAGTACGGTAATATACCTAACCTTCATATATAATTTTATGTGCCCACCATATACAATCATCTATCTCAAAAATTAAGTGCTCCTCCATAACTAATGATACTCCTTTCCCAAAATAGAACATAACATTCAAACCACTCGGGCAACTTTATTAATGATCAAATTATCATCATCGAACTGTTTCAGTAATGGAGAACCATTATCACACATTTTCTAACATTCATCAAAGAACCAAAACAATCAAGAAAGTTCCCTAGTAGCTGCAAATGAGATTCAATAAGTTAATGGGTTCCTTCAAAAGCCAAAATAGATAAATTTTAGAGAAATCTTCAGCATTTACACATTTATAAATTATTATCAGTTCGGAAAGAATTTTATGATTTTAAGAAAATCAAATGAGAAATTCAAATAGATATACTTGAGAGTTTGTAATTCAATAAATTATATTTTAATGACACTGAACACCCAAGCATGGGGTAATTTTGTAGTGGAAAATATAGTCTAAATTTTAAATTCTAACATATTCACTCTAAGTCTCCAACTATTGCTCCTACTCGTCCTTTCTTCTTAACACTCTAAATATAAGATAACCTACAAATATAAAATCAAAATAAACATAAAATTTTAATCTCTAAATTTTTGCACATCATAAAAATGCTAACAAAATTCCATCTCTTAACAAGCAATCAGACATACAAGAAACTTCCATTTTATTTCTCGTTATCTTCTTTCAATTTGTTTCTCTTTCTAATCCATCGCTCCATTCACTGTTAAAAGTTAATCATTTCTTAGCTTTATAACATCAAATTCGAAAATTCTCAAAATAAGAAAACCTTTTCTTGCATGTCGAATTTAATAAATACTATTCTCCCAGTTACAACGTAACTTATTTACTCGACTTTCACGCTTGAAAAATATTGTGCATATCAAACATGTCTGTTGCTAGTGCTACTCAGTAAGTAATTTTATCAATTTTGTTGATTATTTTAAATGGTCCTATATATCTAGGTTTAGATTTCCTCGCCCAAAACTAGAGATCATTTTCATAAGCCTGATTAATAAAAGTATAAAATCACCAAACTCGAATTAGAAAGCCTAAAAGAATTCAATTCGCTTCTTCTTAATACTCAAATATAAGTAACCAACAAACATAAAATCAAAATGGACATAAAATTTTAATCTCTAAAATTTCGCACATCATGAAAATGCTAAATTTATCGTGGCATGTCAAGAATTTGTGGAAAATGCTAAATTGTTACGCATGATAACGAAAGCTATAGTAAATTAAAAACTGTGAACACTATAATTAAATATTAATTTTAATATCATCTTTCTAACATTTTTTTATTATTAAAATTCTTCCCTCTTTATAAGCATTTTGTCAAAGAAATTCCTTTTATTAACAATCAATCAAACATACAAGGAACATCTATTTTATTGCTCGTAGTCTTTTCAAATTTCTTTCGCTTTCTAATCCATTGCCCCAATTCATTGTTACAAAAAAAAAGTTATTTATTTCTGAACTTTCTAACATATATTTTCAAAATTCTTACAGGATCCTCAAAATAAGAAAACCTTTTTTTGCATGTCAACTTTAATAAATACTATTCTCACATTTACATTATAACCCATTTTCCCGACATTCACTCTTGAAAAATATTGTGTATATCAAACATGTTTGCAGCTAATGCTACCCTGTTAGTAATTTTACCAATTTAGTTAATTATTTCAAAGGTTCCTATATATCTGGTTTTAGATTTCCACGCCGAAAACTAGAGATCATTTTCGTAAGCCTGATTAATAAAAGTAAAAAATCACCCAACTCAAAAGATTATTTTCTAGTGGATCTAATAAAACACAAATTGATTATTTTCTTATGAGAAAAAGATAACTTCGAGATTGTAAAGATTGTAAGGTTATTCTAAGTGAGAATTTAAGTACCCAACATTGCTTATGGATCTTAAGATAAAGAGTTATAAAATAAAGAATACTATGAGTCGTTATCGTAGAATTAGATGAGTAAACCTAAAGGACATAAATAAAATTATTTTTATGAGTAAAATTCAAGATTTCAAAATTTTGGATGTTCATGAAGAAGCAAATGTTTTGTGGGATAAAGTAACAAACACTATTAAACAAGTAGCAAAAGATGTGCTTGGAGAATCAAAAGAAAGTTTTTATAAATAAAAATAGTTGGTGGTGGAATAATAATGTGCAAGAAAAAATAAAATATAAGAAGTTACGTTACAAAAATTGGTTTAAATATAAAAGCTTAGAGAACTGAAAAAAATATCAAACGGCCCGTGGGGAATCTAAAAGAACAATCTGTAACGCTAAAAATTTTGTTTTTAATGATATTTATAATATATTAGAAACTAAGGAGGGTGAAAAATATATGTATAAACTAGCCAAACAAAAAGAAGAAAAGTAAAGATTTAACTCAAGTAAAGTGTATTAAAGATGAAAATCAAAAAGTACTTTTCTTAGAAAAAGATATTCAACATAAGTGGGTGAGTTATGTTAATAAACTTTTTAATGAAGTTTCTGAAAATACGATCGACCTTAGTGATCTTAATATCGTGAATAATGATAAAACGTTTCATTTTTACCATCGCATTAGTAAAAAAAAAGTTGATGAGGCTTTAAAGAAAACCAAGGGTGGAAAGTATGTAGGAACTGATGATATCCCAATTGAAGTGTGGAAATATTTGGGAGATTTGGGAGTTTCTTGGCTTACTAAACTCTTTAATATTATTTTAAAAACTAAAAAGATGCCTGAGGAGTGGAGGAAGAGTATTTTGGTCCCCATTTTTAAGAATAAAGGGGATGCACAAGAGTGTGCAAATTATAGAGGAATTAAGTTGATGTGTCATACTTTAAAATTATGGGAGAGGGTAATTGAACATAGGTTAAGA